AAGTGTGACTTAGTTTCTGCATGTAATACGACCCATCCCGGTTAACCATCACCAAAGCCTTCATCTAAGCTAACTAATCCAAAGTGATTGGTCGAAATCTACCCATTTCTGATCATAAAACATCAAGCCTTCTAACACTGCTTAATTTCCAATCCAATCCGTGTGTACACCCTCTCTGCATTGTGCATTTTCCAGCGACCGATTGTCAAACCTCGTCGACTCAATATCCTGGAGAGTTTACAACTAAATTACTACAGCAACTTGTCTTATTCACTACCAATAAAGTGCTGAAGTGGCCAGCTGCGTACAATTGTGCCAGAGACCAGACAATGATGTTCTTCCTTCAATGGGTAACACGGTGAGTCGTCTGGGCTGATTCCTCAAAGGAGTCACGAAGTGAACAGTGGCAGGTACCAAGGACGTCGCAGCTGGATCGATGTGAATTCGTATAGTTTGACAGCTGACATGTCAAAGTGATTCAGTATCACATTTGGTTGAGTTGTGCAGCGCAATTTCACGCGAACGAAATCAACTGTAATTGCACCGAACGACTAGGCTGAATGAGATGCGTAGGAAAATCCTCATAATCCATTTCGGCTAACCACTGGCGTCGTGAAAGTCTACTTGTGGAAAACGATGAATCGTCCGCTGCCAGTTGAACGGCCAACGGTTGGTAGCGTTAACCGGCTGGAAGCCGATCGCTCGATGGACACTCAATATATGCGTGCGGTCTAACAGGCGTTTGATGATGAATATGAGACTGCATGAAATTGAAACGAACAGAGAAGTACGATACTCCTTAGCCACAGCTAACCGTCACCAATAACTGGATATCATGTGAAATGAAGACCGTGTTGTCGAGAATGCTTACGCGGGTGTTTTGCTGATGTATGCCAGCTTGACACCACTGATAACGCAGTACCGAACAGCTATAGAATACGATCTTAGTAGGATATAATAACACACCCGCAGGCGTTTACGGCTGCGAGCCATATCCTGTAAATTCTCCATTCAATCAGCCGGGACCCAGGGGTTAGCTTGCTGAACAACCTCTTTGTGGTACCAACTGGATGGTTTGGCATTAATCTGTTCCACTGAAGTGATCGGCGTCATTGTTCGAGGAAGTCGTGGGTCTTCGCCTGGCAAGCGTGCTCTTTGTAAAAACCCACATACGTCTGCTTAACAACATGGCGACGTGGCGTATGTTACTGGCTACTAAATAAGGTCATTGCCCCTTATTTACTCCGGGTGAGCATTGTATCTCAACGTACAGATGCTGAACTTGTGAGGAAGATTATCATGGTGTATGGTAACAGAACCAGTTAAAAACCGACTATCTGAGCAAACCAACATGAGCTCCCAATGAGCGTGATTCCCTGAGTTCGCTCCGTTGCCTTGCGGGTAGACTATTCAGCATAATTCGCAGGTTTATGTCTCTTAACATAACTCCATATTGCAACTTGGGCAAACAGGTAGTATCACATTTGTTGACAAGACCATGCATCGTTCATTTGTTTTACCGTAATCAATTACGCTTTCTTCCGCCACTCATAAAATTCTTCACACGCCACTTGTTCATTCGTTCCTAACCAAATTTTATTCGTTACCAGCTGCATCTTGCTTCTGATTCTATTCTAAACGGTTAGCTCAACGCCTAGAGATCTCTAACAGCGGCTCTTCGTCAGCTTGCTTAAATATGCTTATACACATGCAGATGCGGGAACAAGCTCGTCTGGTGCGAACCTTGGAATCCTCAGCCGTCAATTTTACATGTCTTCTCCAAACACGGAGAATGATTCCAACACTGTGAGTAAGTTGACATCCCCTCACTACCAATAGACTCAAATTTCCCCCGCCTCTATCTGGTAACACCTAGGCAGCCTCAACAGGCTTAGCTGGTGTTGGTTTAGCACTCGGCATCGAAACCAAGGCTAAGTTATTTCACTGTTACGCGATTAACGGCTGTCTGTGTGCCTTTCGGTTTTGTTGCTCCTTTCCGAACGACAGACATCGCGAGAATAGACAAACTTGTTTGTGATATCAGCGTACACTCTAACTGAGTGCATTTGTTATTTGGTCAATGACAAAAGTAATCCTGAACCTCTGTAGCATCTGAAAAAATTTTGCAAATCCGAGATTTTTGATGTAGTTCCACGCAGTCGCCTTTCACTCACGCAGGCAATTACTCGTCCGGAAAGGCACCGGTCGGCAACTGACTTTCCAGGTCTTGACACTAGGGTGTGTTTCGCGGACACCTGCTGGGCTCCGAACCCATGAATTCCGGACGCTAGCAGCTTGTGCCAAGATGTCGCTTCTTATCATGTGAACTTCACCTCAGTGGTTTATCTGCGCATGGTGGGAACCACTAAGATATAGTATGAGACTTCTATCACAGTGTGAAACAATTTGTCTGTTTCGAGTGCGCAACAGCTTCAGGAATACGAGGACACAATACGCTACTGGGCGCCCTCACTTGTTTTGCACCATTTTCTCATTGTAACAATTTCACCTGGCGGAGTATTATACAGCATTGTACATCAATCTGGTCTACATTTCATGTATCATACCATGTTCTTGTATGTACGAATAAACACATGATTTTCCGATGGTTTGCGAAGACGCAGCATGTAGGGATCATCTTGAGAACACTGGAGGGTTAACCACATTTGACCAGCAGCTACTGCCCGATAACGGATCGATGGAATTATACTACGCCGATAGCTTCCTCTTACTTGAATTCGACGCTGATTTACAGTGAAATCCTGTCATCCTACCTTCACTCGTGAGAATGTTGTGTGGGATTGGATCCAATAAATATCCCTGATAGCCTTTTTAACCAGTTACTCGTCTTTTACTATTACCAAATCTCTGTTGTTTAGTTGCTTGTGCAGCGGAAATGAATTTGTTGCCAAAGCATGTGTGTGTGATATGTACCTCTCTTATTTTCACCAACTTTGGTTATGACTTTGTTTCATGACCGTTAGAATCGTGCATTTCTTCAGTCCAGAGCATTGGATCTACTTCAGTTTCTACTAGGAGCATTGCAGATTGCAGACTATGCAAAGCATTCTGAACCGTTTGGAGGCTTAGACACCTATTTACGGAATTTACCTCACCCATCAAATTGTAAGCTGCTCCATCAGCATTGGCCTGCGGCCGTTCCCTTGCTGCATCTTAAACTTACAAATGTTGAACAGGTGAGTAGCTTTGTCAAACTGTGCAATTGCATGTCTTCTGTTGGCACTATTGAGAGGAAGATCATCTCTGCATCTACAGAACTTGGTTGCATCTCGTCATTCTGCAACATCTGTGGCCTCTTTTGGATGCCTGCCTCATTGCTTAAGGGTTCTGTTTACAATGCTGCCGTTCAGACGACGATACTACAACAACTAATACACTACCGCAAAATTACGCCAATTTCCAGCGCCATCATCTTTGCTGCGAGTGAATTCAGGACCCGTCTATGCGGTCGTTTTATTTCTGGTTACACAAATCCGTGAGCACACCCATTTACTAGGATGGTCCCGAGCTTACAATTTGTTATTAAACCTAGTAGGTTTATTGGCTCATTGGATTAATTATGTTGTATGAGAGCAGACGGGAGAACCGTTGTCCTATTCGTCGATTCCCTACACTTTTTCAGCGCGTTAATGAAAACAGCTAATAGGCTTTTATTGCGTTAAAGTCTTATGTCTCACAATGAAACACGTATTTCAATGGGGATATATGCACTATGTGTTCGTAAAGAAAGTTCCGACCATAGCTTACAGTTTGACAATTGGTGTTTAACCTTCGCTGATGAAGAAACTGCACTGTAAAATATTCAGAAGCTCATCGGATGCAATATACAGTCAAACGCTCTTCGCACCAACTTGTTCGTTTCGTGTGCCATCAATAAGCAGCTGCGCAATATACCTGTAAACACTGAAGCTCACAAATTGTGTGTGAACAGGTCGGCTTACTGAGAACAACAGAGAATTCGTAACGAGGGGAGCATGGCTGTTGAGAATAGTTCACATATTTCGGAAGTCCAAATAGATTCGTGACGCAGTGGCGTCTGTGTCACCAGAATAGGAGTTCTGTCTGTCCGTAAACACCGCTTATGCAAGCATTACTACTGTATAGAATGAGACTTGGATGCTTTGGTCTAAAGTGTATGCAAGTATGTGATCATCGCTGCCTGCGGAGCAATTGTGCACTCGAGAGACGACACTCAACGGAAGGAAAGTTCTTTTCCCTAAGTGACATCAGCTGTCGCGCAGATGTCTAGGTTGACAAATCTGTCTACTTCTTTAAGTTGTGTACCTTTACTAGTAAGCACTGGAACGAGTGATTCCCAATCCCTAAGCGGCACTTTACACTTTGATGGGGCAAAGCACATTCGGTACCTAGATTCCTTAGTCGCCGAAAGCTTGCTATAAACATCACTATGTCAGAAATGCGGAAGTAGTTTATGATTGGGATGGAGGTATATTTTCCTGGTACTTCGTACACTAACAAGAATCGCCCTAGCGCAGGTAGACCAACCGAGCTTAATGCAGCAAGGATGTCCCGCTACTGAACAAGAAATCATGGAAGAGGATATAGAAAATTTAGTGGTGCAGTGCCTATCATTGGAAGGGCAAGGTAATCCGACGATACATTATACTAATTCATTGACACTTAGCATTATATTATTTGCGTTTTAAGTTCTCTATTCCGGAAACTTTAGTATTTCGCTGGCTGTCTGCATTTGGTAATGCGGCACAGTTAGCTGAAGTGTGTTTCTCACCTTCAACGAATATGTAGTGATGATATTCTTGATGAGTACATACGCATCACTGCAATAGTATGAGCATTTTGAACTCAAGACGAAATGCAATTGGTTAGTATAGGTTTATATTTCATGTACAAAATATATGTCATATGTTAACACTCTTCAACACCTGCACACGTCCACACGCAAGAGGCATACGCTAGGGAATCAGGCAAAATATGTCACTATTCCGCTTGGGCAGGAATCACCCAAGAGCCAATGTGAGGGCAACCAGTATGAGCGAAGCGCCGGATACTAGCGCTCCGAATAACCATTCAGGAGGAATAGGCAATGTTACTGCCTGGTCGATGTCCAATTTGTGATATGCACAATAAGCAGCTATACTGAAGAATACTGAAAAACAAAGCAAAGGTGAACTTTCTTAATCACCACTACCCCAGTACATTCGTAGCTATATAATTGTTCAAATTATACACAAGATGAATCCGTTTGCGTGTCGGCAAAAAGGTTAGCTAACTGAAGCCACCATACTCTCCCAAACGCAATGTGCTGCACTGGAAGTGACTTGTCTTATCGATGGCAGTCAGGACAACTACAACGGTTTCGTTGTTCACTACTGGAAGTTTAAAGATGAAGCAGGAGAATCGATATCATCCGGCCATTACAGAGAGACTAGATGAACAAAACGCGTTTTGTGCTCTGAATCAATAGGTGACAGACACAGGACCATTATTCATCAGGAGGTAATACAACGGGGGTGGCATGATCTAGTTGGATTCATTGAGTGCATGACACACACACATATAGCTATCCTACAAATAAACTGGTGCATCCAAAGTCTCTATTTCATTTTATACACCACCACAACGCTACGTAAGTAACCTCACTCTGTGCAACATGGAACAAGAGAAAAGAACTCACGGGCAGCTGCACCAGCCACGGTACCGACGATTCCCTGTATGACATCACTGCAGGGACAGCACATGGTGATAAACGCAAACAAAATAAGGCCCGCAAAGATGAACAGCGCTATGAACGAACAAGCCACTGTTGCCTTCTCTGCATTAGTCTGAGGATCTGTGTAAGAGGAGAAGAAAACAGTGTGCTACGACAAATCTGGTCTAGGTTGAATTTATCCAAAACTACAAACCTCTAACCTAGCCACTCACTTTGGATCACATTTCGATAAGTAATGATTGCACCTAAAGTGCAAGCAATTCCAATTGCACAAGCCGCGATGAGTAAGATCTTTCCAACCAAGCCCATAGCGAATTTTCTAAGTCTTCCGTGCTTTGAGCGGACTCACCGAGACTGCAGATTTTATTTCACAGCCGTTTGAGACAACCAATCTGATTTGAGTGTGCTTGGCGGTTTGGCACCTTTGATTGGATAGATATGCTCGCCCTAAATGCGGAGACAATTGACGAACATACATTGTAGATGTCACGAAATTAGGTTATTATAACATGCTCCATGTTAAAAACGTGGTGTCAACAAACCAGATGATATCCAGAAATGAACGTCGTAGTTTTAACATACAAATCTGTATTGTATATGCTCGTATTCTGACTAGGTCTCGTCTTCGATGTAATAGATTCTACAGAACAGTCTTTTGCGTCAAGAAAGGGAAGCAGCATTATTGCATTGTAAAATCCATTCTAATAATGAAGGCTTATGATTTAGGTATAATGTTTGATGTATTTTTTCGGAAATTCTATATTCTTGATCGAGTGCAATTATTAGCACAAATATTGGCATCCGTTAGAAATTTTTTAGGCGGAAAGCCCAGAGTGACTTTGTTTATGCATATAATATATTAGCGACAGAACAAAGCGGCTATGAAGCACGATCTTTATTGGCGCGAACACACACTACACTCCCTCTCTCACAAGCGCACATTAATGAGTCAGGTTTCTTTCCGTCGTTGCACCATCCCTCCTGGCCTCCGCTCATGACATTTCTATGCTCCTTCTGGGCGTACGGGAACGCATCTTCTATGCCCGTTTCGCCCGTGTACCTTCGCTTCCACGCCTCCACTTCTGACAAGTCCCGAGTCGTTCGATAGCGCGATATTTGCTTGACTGTGGATGTATCACTCTCTCCGGGGTACTTACTTGTAGATGCGATTCCGGCGGTTTTCTCCGGTTTATTGCGTTTTCAACAAATTCTCCACCTGCTATGCCTGCCGAGGTTTCACTCACGGGATGGCGCTCCTCACCCCTTTTCGTCCCGTTCTATTAGGCCTGGGTTTCTCTAGCGAATCGTCCCCATTGCATTGGTCTCCTTATTCGTCCGCCTCCGTTTTAATGATCTAACCGTCCTTTGGGCAAGCGCTGCCTTTCTTCTCCCTACACCCGCCCCTCCTCCAAGTTGGTGTTCTCTGCCATGCCACGGACCTAACGTAGCGACATTCATCCAACTTTGCGCCGCCCCGTTGTTAACTTTGACATCCTCTCCTTTCCGGTCGAGTACAGTATAAGGGCCTTTCCAGTATTCCCTGAAGTTCCGTTCCCCCGGACCTCCAAATTCCGGACGTTCGTGCTTTTGTATCGTTTCTTTGCCACCTGCACTGTATGGTTGTCACTTGTGGGTCGTGTACCTGCCATTGTAGTTGCGCTTATTCCTTACTTGTATAAACTTGATTTCTCTTCTGGCGGTTGCTTCCAGACGTTCGCGGGGTGTTGGTCGGCTATCCCATCCTTGTGTTTGCGTAATGAATGCATCGAGTGGAATTCTTGGCTGTCTGCCAAACAGTTATTCGAACGGGGCAACTTTTGTGGCCGACTGCTTGCTGGTTCTATACGCGAGGAGGACACTGGGAAATGCTTGCACCCACGGTAACTTTGTATAGTTTATCCATGTTTTCATTGTCCGATTAAGGCATTCAGTCAACCCGTTGGTCTGTGGATGATACGGTGACGTGCGTTGCCTCTAGATGTTCCACCTCTGCAATACGGCCTGAAACGCTCTGGACTAGAAACATGGTCCTTGGTCGCTTACAACACTCTGAGGGACTCCATACTTTGCGGGTGTTCTGAATTCGAATACCAGTGCCACTGTTTCACCTGTTTGATCCTTGATCGGTATGGCTTCTATCCACCGAATAAAATGGCCAATCATTACTAGGATGTACCTGTTTCCGGACCGACTGACCGGTAAGGGACCAAAAACGTCCAATCCCCAAAATTGAAACGGTTGGGTGATTTCGATAGATCGCATCGGAGGCCTCGTTGTGTCCATATGGCGGTTTGTTTGACAAGATGGACATCCATGAATGTATGCCGCGACGTCATTTCCCATGGTTGACCAAAATACCCTCCTCTGCAGCAGGTCGAGGACTCAAGTATTTCTGTCAGTACACCACGCCTTGTGCTTGCAGAGGAAGGATCTATAGACGATCGCTGTTCTAACCTACAATCGTCAGTTAAAACGCGTTGCTTTATCTGCCCTAGGCTCTACCTCTAATCCTGTGAAGGGTTGATCTACGAAGATATTATCCGCTTGTTCGCCAAATCGAGAGAAGCACATCTCACCAATTACTCAGACTACCGTCGCTTGAGACGCAAGTCAACCTGCGCCGCACGGAATAATCGCAACCGCTACTGATCTGTTATCGCAGGCAACATGTAAGCTGCATGCAATTCTAGCAAGCCGGGTCATCTGTTTCTTAATCCGCTTAGCTTTCGGCAAGGGCTATTCCCCACAGCCGATATTGCGCAATTCAGGAGAGTTAAACATATCCGATACGGAAGGAAAATTTTCCAGATGGACAGAGTACAATAGCAACTTCCTAAACCACCCACCACCCACCACCACACCCATTTCAGCACTAACGCAGTCAGTATCCGACGCGTATTGCTCAAAGCAATCACCTACATAAATGGCAGAGACCGTTTATCACCTAAAGCCGCTGAAAGCTCCTGCATCGAATAGGTTTCCGGTGTAAATCTTCCAAACTTGTTTCCAAGCTATCCTTGATACGTTGCAGTATTTCTACTGCTTGCCATAGGAGACTGAATTCTATACTTCCTCGTGGAGTACCTCAGTACTATTGTCATTTCCCAAAAGAGGTTGCTCGAGTGTGTGCGGTAATTATCTTGAGATTAGCCCGATCGTTATGATTGTCCAAAATTTCGCACAAAGTTTGCTTTCCCGCTGTGAGACTAAGAGGAACGAGCGAACTTGCCGTAACCAAGGTGGCTTCCGTCCAAGCAAGGGCTGCAATGATCAAATTTTCACTTTAAGTCGGGTACTCGAACACCGCTACCAGTTCCAACAGTCCATGTTAGTGTGCTCCGTTGTTTTTCATGTTGCCTTTGACTCAGTTGACCGTGAAGCACTCTGGAGAATCCTACTTGCCGATGGACAGCGGGCTAAAATCGTTAACTTAATGAGATTATACTGCCGTTGCGCAGAGCGCGGACTCGGATATATAGTGAAGGAACTAAGGAATTCGCCAGCATTTGTGGAGTTCGGCAAGGTTGTCCACTTTCTCTGGTGCTGTTCAATTTCGCAGTTGACTAGGTTATGCATCATGCTCTTGAGGGCCGTCGTGGTGTTTAACTTAGCTCTGACCACTTGCTGTCAGATTCAGAATTTACTGATGATTTCGCAATCATTGCGGAAGATGCAGTGTCACTAGAGTCGCTGTTGAATCGGGTCGACCAATCAGCCTCTATGATCGGCCTCGAAATTATCATCAGCAAGACGAAGTATTTCTCAGCGTTAGCCACCCAGTCCGCCCAGTTGTTTTCCTTACTCGGACAAATTATTGACTCTGTACCCAAATTCATTAGGTTGGATTCACTGTTCTCCCCCGTGGTCTGGCGACATCCGAAATCCGGAATCATATTGACAGCGCTAGAACAGCCTTCTTGCAACATGTTTTAACGAACGACGAAAGTCAGTCTGCTGAGGAAAATCCGAGTATTCTCAGCAACCATACGTGTATTTTGCTGTTTGGTTGGGAAACGCCACTGCGACCGGTGGACAAACGGAAGATGGAAGTCTTCGACCATTGGTATCGAAGGCTTATCTGGAAAACCCAGTGGAATGAGCGCAACATCACGGGAAAAATCCGTAGGTGTTGTTCTGGTCTTTCGAAGATAACAACGCGCACTCAACGCCGCAGACTTCAGTGGTTCTGTCACGTCCGCCACAGACCAGACACGGACTTCACTAGGGTCGTTGTTTCAATCTCGCTTTAGCAGGACTGGTGTCGTCGTCGCGCTGGACAAATGAAAAGGTGGCTCGCTGAAGTTAAATCGGATTTTGATCTTCTGGGACTTCATGTTGTGTGTGGCGTTCGTCACTGAAGAAATCACTGGATCAGTAATTGCGTGGAAGTTACCGCCGACCGCCGCGTTTGACAGCTGCAATCCGCGACATACATGAAGTCGACCTTATCTGTTTCAGGAGCTAGGCGTAATAAAGTAAGGCAGTAAGTAATTATCCGCGGTAAACTAAGTAATGAGAGGGTCGTAAAACTGATAAAGCTTTCCTTCAACTGCACTACTTCGTCTCTTTAACAGTCTACACTTCAAATTGTTCTGTGCCGTACTCAGTACGACCGGTGTTCGTTGCGGTAGACAACAGCAGGCAAGTGACTAAAGTCAGTCGCCTATCAGGCTTCGCATATCACACTAATTCGAAATGTTTGGAGATACCATTTCATCTGCATGTTCCATTTCGGAAATTGTTCTTCATGCTTCTTACGCAATCGTGGATTTGACGAAAAGTCGATGCTTTCCTCGCTGAGAGGTATGTGCGTACATGTAGAGGCAGTCAAAGCAATGTAACCAATTCCGTCTTACTTATGAGCTAATGGTCTGAAGTTCACGGCTTAGTAGATATCTGCGGTTGTGCTATCTACTTGGTAGTTTTTGCGCCTAGAACTTTTAAACACACCGTGTATCTTCTGTCCTCGGATGAAAATGGGAAGCTTGTGGAACTGGTATTGATGTTTCCCGAATTTATACAGTAGCCGGTAATTGAAACCGATGTGACGAAGTGAATTTGTCTTCGATTTCATTTTGCTAATTCCTAGTTCTATCGTAGTCGTTAGCCTAAAAGAATGG